CAGAGGAGACAGGAGTGGTGTCATCTCAGATCTGGGGGTCCCAAGGGCCCCAGGGACACAGGCAAGAGCCCCAGCACCCAGCCCCAGCCCTCACCCAGCTCTGTGGGATTGGTGCTGGCAGCATGGGTGGCAAAGCCAGGCCGCTGCATGTTGTTGGTGACCTTCCAGCGGACGGTGTCACGCCCCTTGAGGTTCCCACTGCGCAGCATGGGTGTGTCCAGGTGGTCTGAGGCCATCAGGTTCTCCCGCAGCATGTAGTGGTCCTCCTTAAAGCCCACCATGTGGCCTATGGGACAGGGTCTTTAGCCCGGGTCCCCTCCCTGCACCCAACCAGGTAAGCTCCATCAGGTGGGACCCCATGGCCTCTGGCCTCCACTGTTCAAGGCTTAACTCCCACTTCCCTCCACTCCAGCTTGGAGAAAGAGTGGTCAGAGGCTCCCCAACCCCCGTCTCTGCCAATGGCAGGCCCATACCTCGATTGCAGCAAGGGAGAAGTGCCAGGCAGGCCTAGGAGACAAGTTGGGTGGGGTGAGTGCTGGGATAGCTTCCCCAGCTCAGGCAAACCCCTCCAGCCTACTCCCTATACCCCAGGCTGTCTCAGCAGTGGCAGGGAGCTGAGCCTGGTGTACATGGGCATAGAGGGGACGGAGCAGAGGGCTCCCAGTGTTTGTGCTGTGGAGCCCTGGTCCTGCCAGATGCTTTGTACAGTAAAGGTTCTGAGGTCAAATTCATTTTGGAAGTACTGAATTCATCCCCTTGTAGGTTCACTATGCATATGACTATATTCAAGGTGATTCAGATGAGACTGCATTGAGTTTTGATGATACCACTGCATCCTAGCCTGGGCAATGGGGCAAGATCCTGTCTCAAAAAGGGAAAAAGGCTCTGAGAAGTCCTGCAGAGGAGAAACCAATTTCTTAAATATATTTTATTTATTTATTTATTTATTTAGAGACAGAATCTCACTCTGTTGCCCTGGGTAGAGTGCCATGGCATCATAGCTCATAGCAACTTCAAACTTTTAGACTCGGCTCGGCGTCTATAGCTCAACCGGCTAAGGC